TTTCCCTGTGCTTTTCTTTCTCTTACACTCTAGTTCTCCTCTTGGTTTTGTTGCTATCTCCTGTCAGTCAGTCTTAGCTTCCTAATCTCCTGTAATTTTATATTTTCTTTTGCCTATGTCAGTCCCCTTATTATTGTTAGTCCTGGCACGTAGAAAAGTGAGCCCTTCAGGAGCCTGAAGCCACAATCCTTCAGAAAATAAAGTTATATGAATCAACTGGGGACTGCCTGAGGTCTAAGTATGCAGATCCTGCTTAGAGCTTTAATTTGGACAGCATGCCAAGATGAATTCTAGAAAGATAGGTATTAACCATGGCTCATTATTACAGCACCTTAATAAATTCACTCTGTAGATCATGTGCATCTGCAGGGTCATTACTACCATATTTAAAGGTGAAGAACCAGAGAGTTCTAAGGTCTATCTAGTACAGTAGAGACCTGGAATGTGCCAGCTATGTCTCCCCAGCTCCCTAAACCAAATTCTCCAGTCTTAAGAGTCATAGGCAGAAAGAAACTGTGTAGTTCAAGTGCAGCAGACTCACAAAACAACTGCAGCACAACTGCCTCTGATGTTTACACATGCATACACTGTTAATGCTATATAAAATGCTTCTAAATCATCTCCACAGAACCACAGAATCTTTTTGGTTGGAAAAGACCTTTAGTTTCAGATCATCAAGCCCAACCGTTTAGGTAACCTAACAGTGCCAAGTCCACTACTGAACCATGTCCCTCAACACCACATCTACACATCTTTCAAATACCTCCAGGGATGGTGACTCCACCACCTCCCTGGGAAGCCTGTTCCAACATCTGAAAACCCTTTCAGTGAGTATTTTTTTTCCCCCCAATATCCAACCTAAACCTCCCCTGGCATAGTCTGAGGCCATCTCCTCTTGTCCCATCACTTGCTACTTGGAAGAAGAGAGCAACCCCCACCTTGCTACAGCCTTCTTTCAGGTAATTCTAGAGAGCAAGAAGGTCTTCCCTCAGCCTTCTTTTCTAAGGGGGGCTAAACAACCTCAGTCCCCGCAGCTGCTCATCAGAACACTTGTTCTCTAGACCTTTCACCAGAGCTTTGTTGCTCTTCTTTGGACAGGCTCCAGCACCTCAGTGGACTTCTTGGAGTGAGAGACCCATAACTGAGCACACTATTCAAGGTGCAGCCTCACCCATGTCAAGGTACAGAGGTACAATAACTTCCCTAGTACTTCTGGCCACATTATTTCTGATACAAGGCATGATCCTGTTGGCATTCTTGGCCACCTGGACACACTGCTGGATCATGTTCAGGTGGCAGTCAATCAACACCTCCAGGTCCTTTTCTGCCAGGCAGCTTTCCAGCCACTTGCCCCCAAGCCTGTACTGTTGTATCGGGTTGTTGTGATCCCAGTGAAGGACCCGCCATTTGGCCTTGCCCAATCTCATACCATTGGCCTCAGCCCATTGACCCAGCCTGTCCAGATGCTTCTGAAGAGCCTGAATACCCTCAAGCAAGTCAACACACCTGTCTAACTTGGTGTTGCCTGCAAACTTACCAACAGTGCTCTCAGTTCTCTTATCCAAACCACTGATAAAGATATCAAAGAGAACAGGCTCAAGTTCTGAGCCTTGGGGCACAACACTTGTGACTAGCCACCAACTGCATTTACCTCCATTCACCACCACTCTTCAAGCCTGGCTGTCCAGCCAGTTTCTTGTCCATGGAAGTGTACAACCTGCCAAGCCACGAGCAAGCACTTTCTCTGGGAAGATACTGTGGGAAGCAGTGTCAAAGGCATTACTGAAGTCTAGGTAGAAAACATCCACAGCCTTTCCCTCATTCACTGAACAGGTCACCTTGTCATAGAAGGAGATCAGGTTTGTCAAGCAGGACCTGCCTTCCATAAACCCATGCTGACTGGACCTGTACCCTTGGTTGTCCTGCGTGTGCTGTGTGATGGCACTTAAGATGGTCTGTTCTACAACCTTCCCTGGGACCAAGATCAAACTGATAGGCATGTAGTTCTCCAGATTCTCCTTCCTGCAGCTGGGTGTGACATTTGTTAACCTCCAGTGCTTACACCTCCCCCATTTAGCCAGGACTGATGGTAAATGACAGAAAGTGGCTTGGTGAACACTTCTGTCAGCTCCGTCACTACCCTTGGGCAGATCCCACCAAGCCCCACAGGCCTGTGTGTGTCTAAGTACTGTAGGTCAGTAACCATGGGGGCTTCATTCTGCTCCCTATCCTGGTCTTCAAGCTTAGGGGCTGGGTACCTGCCTGGAGAACAACTGGTCTTACTATGAAAGACTGAGGGCAAGAAGGCATTCAGTACCTCAGGCTTTTCCTCATCCTTTGTCGCTACATTTCCCCTTGCAACCAATAAAGAATGGAGATTGTCCTTAGTCCTCCCCTTGTTGCTGATGTATTTATAACATTAATGTTTAACACATTTAAAAACATTTTTTACTGTCTACTATGGCAATAGCCAAATTAAATTCTAGTTAGGCTTCCCTTCTAAATTTCTCCCTGCATAACACGACAACATCCTTGTACTTCTCCTGAGGGGCCTGCCCCTTCTTTCAGAAGTCATGAAGTCTGCTTTTCTTTTTTTTTTCTGAGTTCCAGCCAAAGGTCTCTGTTCATCCAAGCCAGTTTTCTTCCCCACTGGCTCATCTTTCAACACATGGGGACAGTCTGCTCCTGCATCTTTAAGACTTCTTTCTTGAAGTATGTCCAGCCTTCCTGGACTCTTCTGACCTACAGGACTGACTCCCAAACTTTGCCAACCAGGCTCCTAAACAGGCCAAAGTCTGCCCTCTGGAAGTCCAAGGTGGCAGTTCTGCTGACGCCACTCTTTACTTCTCCCAGAATCAAAACCTCTGTAATTTCATGTTCATTATGCCCGAGACAGCCTCCAACCATCACATCATCC